GCGCCTTTATAGCCCTAAGTACCCATGATTCCTCCAATTCGATCCAACTTCGAAGCAACTGACTATTTCACCTAGCTTTAATTAAAACTTAAGCAGCTCTGTTCTTGGATCCAGGCACTTAACGGTGGCCTCCATACCTTTTGACTCCTGATCAACATAGACTTTCGCAAATTGACACGGAAAAGCTTCCGGCCGTTCAGTTTAGGATCGTTACCAGTATGCTTGCGTACCGGCTCATGTAGGGAGTTTGTCGCACTAGTTGAACGTACTGAATTACGGATGGATAATTTGTGTATTTTCCCTGCCGCAATGCCCTTTGGGCACCACTAGTGGCGACGGCGTCTGGCCCGTGGAACCCTTAAAATCATGTGGTAGCCTTCATCCGCACTTTCAACACCTTCTGTCATCTACAGAAGAATATCAGAAGTGGAATGTTGTGGGATGACACTGTCATCTCGTGCATATTCGTCAACCACGTACATGTAGCTAACAAGATGTAAAACAATGTCGCGTAAAATCAATTAACTGTCAACTGTTTTCCGACTGGTGCGTTAAATGTTACCACGGTAGGCCTAGTGTCACCGTCATGTTTTTGGACTCTGAGTGGTGGGCACTGTCGATCGATAACAATGGCCTCGAGTAGACGGAGTATCTAACTAAAGTATTCCGTATCTTCTTCATCTCTGCGTTCTCTTGAGAGTTTGAACAAACTAGACTTCAGCTGTCGCGGTACACAGGACGCATGTTCTCTGCACTTTGGCTAAATGTGTGAGTCGGTACTTGTCAGCGCGGACCGGACATGTATCTCCAAGTGATGAGTCAAGATTGGCTACACCCGACGTGAGTGCTAACGAGTTACCTGACTGCTCGCTTCTTATGGACTCCAACAGGTGTTGACAAAAACGGACTTTTATTCTAAACCTTCCGAAATCTCAATGAGCTCTTTCCCCTCCCGACTCTCCTGCCAAAGATCTTACTGCTATTGGTTTGTCTGTTGCGAAGATAGGTATGCCATCTTAGACTGCACGGTTACAAGACTATATAGAAAAATCTTTGCCCCCAACCGTTTTCTTCCCAGACTACGCATCTAGTCTAGGTCGTAGTGTTGGACGGGCTCTGTCTTGCTTACTAGCGCGCGAAACGGGACGCTGGTTAAGCGAAAGCTTGCCACGTCCCTGGATCCTGTCCTGTTCTAGGTTTATAACTCGAAGTACGATCATTCATTTACGTTTCGTACGACATAATTATCTTTAGCTTAGCTCCATCTACACAATTACCAAATTCAGTTAACCGGCCAGCCACTTCCATTGGCTGTCTGGTGATAGTCAGAACCGTTAGGGTGTCGACCCATTACTGCAGCTAAGCTTAGCAATTTGAAATTGCGTACCAAAGGCCGAAACGTGCAGCGCTAAGCGTCAAGCAATTCCGTAGTGCTTACACGGCCACTGCGTCAGACCCAAGGATAGCTATGTCATCCGTATACTCGAGTTTTTCAATTTGGCCACTTTGCAGCAATTCCACTCCAGAAGAGGCTGAGAGGATGGAGTCATCTATGGTCATTTCGATTACAAAGTTGGAGGGGAAGGGAGATACAGGACACATCTGGCGAATGCCATTTTTTCTGTGAAATTAACGAGATTACTTCCTGTAGGCCTTTACTCAGTCTCGGGGTTTGCACTAGAAAGTCTTCAAAATGGGTAGCAGTTCCCTGGTAGGCCTTTCACGGATAGGCAGTACCCCAAGACGGTACAAACTGAGGAAACAGCCGTTGCCTCCAGAGTAGTAACGTTCGCCGGTCAAAAATTGAACAACACTTAGCCAATAATCGCGAAATCACAACAAGTTTGGATCGCAGTACCTACGGTACTATTACAAAATATGCCGTTGGGATAATTCCACCTACCTCAATCGTTCATACTTCTCGTATATCAGCCTCGATGACGAGATGCAATTACACGGGTGGGGAAGTACAATGGGTCTGTTGAAACCACCGTTTAAAGCAGACAGCCAGAGGACATGGAGCACACGGCACATACTTGGAAGCTATTAGCAGTCACGGTGATAAATATTGACGGTCCAATTACGGAGTGCGGAAGGGGTTAGAGATGAACGTTATTCACCACATGCAAGCTAAGCCATATTCAAGGTGGATGACATCGCACACGTCACTCAGGAAATATGCTAACTGTTATGACGCCATGTAGCAAGCCGGGTGCGTGAGGCATCTGTTCCAATCGACACGAATTGATCTGAGGTCAAGTATCCTTAGAAGTTCGGAGGCAGTGAACATGTAAACAAGTGGTAAACATGTGGACGTTTGCTCCGATAACAATGCAACACGCCTGAGTGATCAAAACCTCCGGGGTTACTTGAGGACATGGTTCAGTGCTGCAGCAGTCTTCGCGGTCACAAAGCAAGGTCATTGAATTAACTGAAACGTACTGTCCCAACTGACAGCCGAGGGTGTTTCAGAGATTTTCTCGTAATGCAACAATCCATGTTTACAGCAGTCATCTCCACTACCATTATCATCGGTGTGATCAAGTACTGTGTGTACCAGCCCATCACCTTCCTCGTAGCAGCGCGTTATTTTCCCTTTCTGAATTGCATATGGATAAGGTGCGGTGGTGGACGACCGACAACGTAGAAAAGGAGTAGGTGGTTGGATCCCTCTGATCCCATGTTGGGACCGGGTGACTTGCTTGCAAGTTTCTGACGTTGTGGTTGCATGGCGCCAATGTTGTTTTACATTTTCTTCTTATTCAATGTTCCATTTTAAATAAAAAGCATAAAATCAAGACGGCATGTGTGGGAAATCGGAGTGCGAACCACCTTCCTTTCTGTTAACGTTTTCCTTTCGTCGAGCAAAATTACCTTTTTCGGTTTCTGCCGCGGTACTGATGACAACCATGTTTGTTCTCATGGTTGGCGGCATCCGGTTTCGGATTTGCCTGTCACAGTGGCCAGTCACAGGACGCCTGTGCCTGCAGAGAGACCATGCGTGGCTTGCGCTGCACCACCCACACGCCCCATATCCAGTGTAAACCCGAAAGAAGGAGACATGTGAATGGGAGCCACGTTTCATCAATGGAGTCGGCCCACACTCCCTCACAGACAAACACAAGCACGCTGTATTTGAGGAATCAAGTGCACACAAGGCGGTGGCTGGACCGTATTCCGCTCCACACCGACTGCATGGAACCACTGTTTGAGCCTAGCACGACCACAAGGACCGTGCACCCCCTCTCCTCCAGCAATGAACAACTGTCTCCTGGAGCCAGTATGGAGGAGGTTGTTGGTAATAGACTGGTAGCGACCTTGTCAGCATGCACATCAAGCGCAGCCACACCGTGGATGACAAGCAAAAGCCAATCACTTGAAATAACATTATCAAATAAGGTATATCTGTTAGGGCATATGGCTATGCCGACATAACTCTTCGCTAAATTAGTATATGAAGTAAGTTGATTGGCAACGAATCCGCGTTAACTGCAAAATGCCCACAATTTATTCAAAAATGTTACAAGCGCAATAAAGTTAATAATGATAACCACAATTGGCGTAATCAACTTGGCCAGTTAATAGAATATTATTCAGGTAAGTAGAACAAACCTAAAAAAGTGGAATGAAGTGTATCCAGCATAAAAAGAACGAGTTTATGTAAGTTGGTTTAGCCCAACTGCGGTGAAGAAGCATTATGAATACACCAGCATACCGATGTATAAATAACCTATTGTAGTAATATTTTGCTTCTTCTATCTATCGTTGTAGGGATCGGACACTTCTCAGTCGATGCAGCGCCCAATTTGCACCTTGGAGGTCCACATTGGGGCTGAAACCGGTGGCAAGACTGGGACCTCATCCATGGCCGAAGTCGGACTGCTTTCATTGTCAGCTCATCTGAACACACCGGCGGCGGCATCGGCGCAATCGATTCCTTGCGTGTTTCCTAAGCAACAACTGGACCAGTCTGACGATCGAGGTCTAGGCGATTCACACGATCGATTGGCATCACGTGCGTCTCATGTGTAGCGACCATAATGTTTTATTGAACTGCTGGGAGCCTTTCTCTCCATGTTCCACCCGGTTATAGAATATTTGTAAGTTCTCCGTGTCTGTCTCAGATTACTGTAGTTTATCAGTCATAACGGAGGTAGTTTCGGACTCACGCCGGGTTTTGTCTCTGATATTCAGCAACTTACCACCTGTCTACTGCTGTTACTCCTATCAACTGTCTCAACCGTTTTGTTTGGTGCTAGTTTCCCCGGAAAATTGGGAAATATTTTCGCTATCTAGATCACTCTTGTTGTTCACGGCAGGTTATACTCAAACTCCGTCATTGCTTAGAGTATCGTGGCCCCCTTCTTTGACCCAGGTCCCACTCACCTGTTTGTTGATGTGTCCAGCGCGCACTGACTGCTAACGCTGGTGTATTTTCCCCTTGTCTTTGACATCAGTGAACGCCGAAGATATCATAGCCCGGAGCCAGCTTGACCTACTTCAGGTAGCAAGCGAGGTTGGCGGTGATTGGCCCAAACTAGTCGGTGTCCTGTTGCCGGATTCGAGGCTGGACGCAACCTGTACAGTGGAGCAGCTAGTCAATTGGATCACCCAAAACGAACCACAGTGGGTTGAAGCTCGATCAAGTAGTCCACCTCCAGCCGGAGGTCTTGGAGGCCTCACGGTTGCCGATCTACGCACCGACCATGACCAGGCGTTGGCTGTTCTCCTAGCTTGGAAACAACATAAAGGTGATGCAGCAACAGGTGAGGATTGACAGTTACTCGGGGAGAGTAAACACTGTGTTAATAATGACACGATTTTATTGTCATATTAGTAACGTTGATAATCACTCTCTGGCCCATCGACTATGTCTAGCATAAACCTCTGATTCTGCTCGTGGCTGTGGGACTGTTCTCTCTAGCCAACAAACTATACCAATTTAACGGAGAGTAGCCGATTTCTATTGAACTACGAATTAAGGAAGTTAAGGAAGTTATTTACTATTACCTGCATCTTTCAGATTGGTAACGTATTTGGCTTTATTTTTTCTTTATTTGTTTTTTTGTTATTGCGAGACTTTTTCTCGCTACTTTAGATTCGTCTGTGCCTGGATGGCGTGGTATTTGTTATTGGTTGGGTTCAGTTTAGCGCGTGTGCTCCTTTCACCAGAGTGGAACAGACAGGGTCACCAACTCCTGGTTCATGATGATTATGATAGTTGTGGATGACGAAGCAAAACCAACGACAGGGAACTATGAGTAAGGAAACAAGCCTGTAATAAAAATGTGCCCAACTAAGCTAATTGAAGTTACCTTTTCATGAAATTCACTGCCCAAACTGTCTACCTGATGAGTGCTTTGGGCGCACTTGATGGTAAGATGGAAAGTTCGTTGCTGACCCATCCGCTTCCGGACCATATATCCACTGTTTCGCTTTGTCTGGTTTATGCCAACCTTCTCACATGATAGCCCCGCAATTCAGGCGGCCTCCTTTTTCAACTTGTACCAACAGGTTGTGACTATTTTTAGAACTTCTGTTAACCAATGTCAATTCTTCTTTTGCCTCTCTAAGGAAACGAATTGAATCGAGCGCTGCGGTCGATTGGCAGGGTGGATGTGGTGAAGTCGTGCATGCGAGATATTCAATGTGTGCTGGAGGAGGAGGAACGTACTGAAGTGAGTAACATAGGTATCCATGCAATTCACCAAAAGATGTGTTTGACTTTGTCGACTCGGATTGTCCACACTGGTGCGTTTGTGATGTATTTTTCAAACACAACTTTTCCCCCCAGGATCATCCCCATGGTAAAACGTGCTTGACCTGCCGAGCATTTTTCTTGAGCTTCAGTTCTGCTTAGACTGAACGAGTTGATAGTCTTTCTTAATGGTCTATACGCAACCGAACTCGCCAAGCGTGTGCCAGCATCAAACGCCTACACGTGCTAACCGGTCGCTGCCGAGTTTGACGGTTCTGGAATGCCCCCTCCCATATTCTAGGTTTCAGCACCGTGAATAGCTTATCTTGCTTCAAATATCGATATCCAGGTTGGAGTAAACTGGAATCTGGTTCATGTGGCGGGAACTTGGAAGGATCCGGGTGTTCTTGTGGTCCAAGTGATATACTTTTTCCTAGTATCATCTGAATTCCACCAAAAATAGATTCTGTAAAGCCGTAAACTTTTCGACTGATTGACTGATCTGATCATCGAGATGGACAGAAGTAGCCGGAAAATCGTGGGCTCCAAATGGTTCTGGATCACTTATCGGCTAACTGCAGCCCATCACTGATTTTGCGTTTTACGAGCGAACAAGTATAACTGTTACGAATAAGCTGAAATCGCGTTGAACGGTGGGACCGAGGTAATTAACTGCGACGCATGCACACACCCACACACCTGTAGCTAACTGGGGATGGGCAACGAGCAGGCAAACATACACTGCTCAGCTTCATCATTGTGCTGCTTCAGTGGAAACCCCTGGCAAATTACACCCCAAGTGTCAAGGGAGCGGAAAGCAAGCAAGAAATTCTACTGGCTACAGTTTCCAACTCTCAAGCCACGCCCCGTATCTGCATGTGTGTTAGGGACCGATTGATAATGGAGAGCCACCACCCTGTATACTCCACCTAATAGGCATGTTTCCAGCTATTACTTTGAGTCAACAGCATGTCGGTCCGCCGCGAATCATTCATGCCTTCCACCTACATATCGCCTAGTCTTATTCCTTCGGTATACACTGGGTGTAGATATATACATGCGGCATTCGGTACCGGATTTGCCTGTCACCGCGGCCTCAACATGACAGCCACAGGACGCCTACGCCTACAGAGAAACCATGGGTGGCTTGCACTGCACCACCCACAGTTCCATCCACACACTCCAGTGCATGCCGGACATGTGGATGGCAGCCACGATTGGTTCGCAGCGGACCAGCATGTTCGTGACTCAATGTAACAACGGAATAATGCTTTTATACGCGTAAAAAAGCTAAGACCCAACAGGTCACGTAGCATGGTTATGGTGAAAATACAAAATATAGAAAGATTGTCAGCAAAACTAGGTTCGCACCGGTGGACTCACCACGGTATTCGTAGCATAAAATGTAAATCCACTGAAAGTCCATTAGGAATCATGACAAATGGGACGCCGTCTCCTGGTGAACACAAACGGGAGGGGAAAATCGTGAAACGTATTCTTTGAGTTGACCGCCAACGAAATTTCTAACAGACACTCCTGTTTAGGCATGGGCAGTGAATTATGTCATATGGTGTGGCGAACTGAGTGCGCGGTCAACTCGTGCGTTGAATTCTGTCAGCGTGTGAGCACAAATAACAGATTCCGGTAGGGTATTCCACGTTCTGCAAGCGGGTACGGAAAAGAAATTCCGACGGTGTTCCCGGTGACTGTACTACTCAGCTGGAGCTTGTGGTCTCTCAAATCACTGTTGTGACTGTGTTCTAGCAAATGGCGGCGCGCGTGGTTGGAATCTCTCAAAATCTGATAAGTCAAAATGAGGTCCACACGTAATCACCGATATGGTCCGCTGAAGACCCCGAGCACTTGAAGCTTACCTTCGTACGGCAAATTATACAAACCTTTGACATTCTTGGTTGCCCGGCGTTGGAGTATCTCTAAGGCGGTGAGATTTCTCCTTAGCCATGGCTGCCAGACCTGTATTGCGTATTCCACATGTAGACCTACGTATGAGCCGAAAAGCTGTTGAAAAATCAAACGATTGATTCGTCCGAATGCACGCCTCAGGAGGCCCACGTGTTGTTGTTAACGCCTTTTCAGCTTGGTTCGAATATCCAAGGTCGGTCTGGATCAAAATGCCCAGATTCTTTTCACCAGAAGACGTTCGAAGCTCCTGGTTGCCGAGATTGTAGGAGAACATCAACTGGTTCCGTAAGTGCAGCATTCTACACTTATCCACATTGAATCGAAGTAGATTCTAGATTGACCAGATGTAAATCTTATCTAGGTCGCTTCGAGGTACTATGATATCTTCTGGTGGATTTATCGCCCTCCACACTTTGATGTCATCAGCATAAAGCAGGCAGTTCGAGCTTATGGCACGTGTGATGTCGTTGCTATACGTCAGATCCTAGTACCAATCCACGTGGTACTCCGCATTCAACTCATACGAATTTGTCCGTATAGCTCCTAAGTCCTATGTCGTACATTGGCGCTATGCGGATAGTCCTAGCTCGTGAGGTTAGCCACTGTCCTCTGCACAGTTCGTAACTGGCATGGCAGTGGAAAATGAGCCGGGCTATATCATAGTCAACTCTCAAGCACGCAGATCCGTGGCTGTCACCCATGGCGAAGTGGCACTAGCTGTTGGCATCCTGAAGTCATGGGGACGGAACCCGGCAAGGGTCCGCTGGGAGGCGCACCACTGACGAGACCCAGAAGGTCGAAACGCTGGCGTCTGGTGCTTTTCCAGACTAGCCTAAGTCTGCTGATTGGGAGTGACGATGATGAATTAGCTGAATCATACGAATAGCTGAAATCATGCCTACTAGGAGTATACAGGGCGGTGATTGTTCCTTAGCAATCGGTCCCTAACACACATGTAGTTACAGGGCGCGGCTTGAGAGTTGGAAACCGTAGCCAGTAGAATTGCTTATTTGCTTTCCGCTCCCTTGACAGCTGGGGTGTAATTTGCCAGGGATTTCCACTGAAGCAGCACAGTGATGATGCTGAGCAGTGCAGGTTTGCTTGCCCGCTGCCCATCCTCTGTTCCTAACGTAGGAGCAGATCAGTATAAACAGGAATGATCACGCTGTTATGTGAATGAATACGGATGCCGTCCCTAACTCTAAATGTTTTTTGGCCCATCCTGTAATATTTCATTAAGTCATTTGTTGGATGCGAACATGGATGGTACCACTCTTCCAGGTCAACGAAGCAATCGATTTTATTGTAGAATGATTTAGGGTTTTCACATGTCCTGATTGTGGCTGGCAGGCTGTTCCACAAGATGGCGTGTCTGATCAGAAAGAAGTTAGAGAACATGGTTGTTCTTGCTCTTGGTACAAATAACATTTGTTTTTGTTGCATAGTCTTTGACGTGTATCTTTTCTCAACTCTAACTTAGGCAGATAAGAGTATGTTTTCTGCTGTAACAGGTTGTGAAGGCGCATTAAGTTTTGCTTCAGATGTCGCAGTCAGATGAGCTCTACATAAAGCTGCTTGCAACGTCTTATACGTTTAGGGTAGATGTGTCACACTAAACAAACGTTTGGTGAGTGATCCCTGCAAATTTTTCGTGGCCTTCTTGTTGATCGTCCGCATGCTGCCGTAAAATCGCAGTATCCAAGAATGATCTAGTGAGCGTTTTGAACAACTCTTGTTTGTCAGGGACTGTATGGATTTTGTGGCATATGTTAGCCACAGATTGTCTGGTTCGGATTATTTGGCGTTAGACCTCTTCAAGACAGCGGAAGTTAGAAGAATACCGGATTCCAAGATCACGGGTAGACTATGTCGTGTGCTAAGCATGTGTGTGAACTTGAAGTAGAGGTAGTGTGTGCTGAATCGCATCACGCCGATCTATAGACAATCTTGATGTCATTAGCAAATAGAAAGAGTTGGCCACTTTTGATGAACATGCCGATGTCATTGGTATAGAGGAGGAAAGCAAAGGACTAAGTTCAGTTCCTAAGATGAGGCGGTGGTAATTGGGACTGGAAAAGCGTGTTGGTCACCTAAAGTGCTTAGTTGAAACCGATTGCTAAGGTAGGATGAAAGCCAGCTTAAAAGCGGCTTATGGATTCCAAAACATTCAACCTCTACAACAGCCGTTTGTGCGTCACAAGGCCAAATGCTTTTCCTAGTTCCAAAAATAAATTTATTATTGCATAACCGGCGTCTATGGATTCTGAAGTGTATTTAAGGTAATGTAGCTAGCAGCTCGTGCAGGAACGTCGTCTATGGAGGAAACCATGTTGAGATATGTTAAACAGGTTCAACAAACTAAGGAATTCCATCAAAGTTTAACTAACCTTTCGAAGAAAGTGGCGATGAATCGGTCGGCAATTGGCAACTTTGTTAGGAACCGTTCTTATGGCATGGGATGACGAATGTGATTTTCCATTCATCTGGGAAATGGCTATTTTGTAGCGACAAAATAAACATATTTAACAAAAGTAATGATAAGTCAGGTCCTCCCATTCTGATTGCAGTTGAAGGGATGCCGTCGAAGTTCAACCTGAGATAAGGTTTAATGATTTTCATTGGTTGCTGGATACTATTCGTGAGACATTTCGACTTTGCATAGGCTGTTAGTTGTTATGGATTGAGGACACTCAATTATGGGGCTAGATTTAAAGATCATGGAGGCAGCAGAGAGCGCTATCGGGTTCACCCTATTCATCCCTTAGTTTCCGTGAAAGGGAGAGAGCAGTTATTGATTCTGTGATTAGAAATAGCGAGTTTCTTTGTTTTGTGACCCGTTCGTAGACCATTTCTGCATCGCTTTTAATTCGCATCGCTTGTGCATGTTTGATCCCAGTGGTCCATTCGTGCATTGTAATATTGTTCAAAGGTCTCCGTTCTTGTGATATCTTGCTAGAAATTTTCGAGTGAGTGAGCGTTCATTTGCATTTCTAGAGCCATAAGCAATACCTTTACCTTGTGGTGTAAGATGGGTTATGTGGTGGATGTTAGTGTAGAACTCTGCTACTGTTAGGGAAACATTGATTAATAGGAAAAAACATCCCGCTTGGAAGACCGGACCAAATGTTGACGATGTGTTCAATTGACTCCCTGAATAGAGTATTGTGGGCGGTTCTATGTTGGCATTTGTTCTGATGCTGAACATAAATTGTACTATTTTGTGGTCACTGCCAAGGTGACCGTCCAGTAGACTTATGTGTACTTCGACGATTCCTAGCACATTAAACAAGTACGTTGATTGACCTATTAGATTTTGTAACCCATTGTGTCCATCCCCTAGCCATAACAGTCGATAGGAGTTCCGTGTGTTCTAACGAAGATGGATTTGGTGACCGAGGTAGTTTCGGGAAATGGAAGTCCTCAGCTATTGTTTGCTGTTCGTACGCAGCACCGTTGCAAAATGTAATGCGAAAAAATTGTGCTAACACCACTAGTTGGTGTATTCGGCGGGTGTAGCTGCGCGTGTCACACGTGTGACAATTTACCACAAAGATTTAGGGACGTGGCCAAGAGGCATCGCTGTAAATGTTCGATGCATTGGTGCAGGAATCTTTGTGAATTCGTTGATAGTTGGGTATTGTTAGAGTTGAATCCAGCGTAATGGTAGAAAATCATGTTTCCGTGATGAGGGTTACACTTGCTATACTCACCTTTAGGAGGTGGAGCTTGCTGTTAATAGATCTCACATTAATCAGAAGTATAGAAGATGGTATGCACATGCTGGGGTTCTCGTTGAACACATTAGAGAAAGTTTTGAATTGAGGAGCACGAAGTTCAGGTATAACAGGTGAGAATAGAGATGAAGGGGTAGATACAGCCTCTACTGTGCTCATACGTACGGGTCTATTATCGGTCGAGATTTTCGGTAAAGCTGAACGAAAGTAGTGAGTTGATGCATGAAGTTTAGGATGTTCCTGACTTGATACTGAGCCATTCGTATCATGTGGACCAATTACAGGAAGAGCGAATATATCTTGTTTGCTTCTACTAGATGTATCAGTGGTGAGAGTGATTGTGGTACCACTCGCGCATCTACTAAAAAAGAATTACAGTTGGATGAATCGTGAGGGGCCGGGTGTATTTGGCATTTGGCAGGATCTGTTGTTGTCCATTGTTCCGTGATCTTCAGGAGGTTGTGACAGTCCGAAGGCGGAACGGAGTGATGGTGACGCGGAGGTTGATAAGTTGGGTTATCTAGGAGACAAGCCGATCTGTTTTTTGATCGAACTGTGGTGGTAAGTATTGTTAAGGTGGTAAGGGGAGTTTTGGTATAAAGCCTTGCGGGTATCGGTCATTGAAAACTTGGAGCAGTGGGCGGGTGGCGTTGTCACGTTAACATCGTGATTAAGGCCGTTGCTACTAAGGTTCTTGTTGCCTCTACATCGATAGAGGTTGATGCAGTGGGAGTAATTATGCCCGGGCTAGGAGTTTCAGTTTCGGTCAGTGGATGCATAAAGGACTGCAAGCTAGGCTGGGACATAAATGCTTGCTGCGGCTACCTCTAGCTAGGAACTCTCGAGGTCCACACCAGAAGCCATGAGTGTCCCACTGTGCGTGTTTATATTCTAAAGATTGGTAAAATGGTTCGCAACATAAGTGCTTTTTTCTTAGACTCTCTTTATATATATATATATATATATATATATATATATATATATATATATATATTGCTGCGTCATGTCGAAGGTATGTGGATGGAGCTGTGCGTGATGCTGTGTAAGCCACCGATGATCACTCAGTAAGTACAGGCGTTCTGTGGAGGCCGCAGTGACTGGTAAATCCGGAACCGGATACCACCAACCATATCATGTCAAGTTTTCTGTGTTGCCTGGTCCCGGTTTGTTTATTGAGCATCTCCATGTTCTGGTGGCCAGTGCTTCAACATCATCATCAACAACAGCAGTGCATCAGCCATTTGAACTGATGCTTCGCTGCCATACAACCATGATGACCTATGAAATAAATAATAACAAGAGGGAGAGAAGGGGCTTTAGCGGAAAACCTTAATACCCTAAGCAAACATTCAAAGCCAAGGCGCCTGCACCTTGTGTAGACAACATACCATCACAAACAGCTGGCTGTCGTGCAAAGACGGCATCGGCGAGACAGCTTCCTTGCGGCTTTCACTTCCACGCGTCATAATTAGTCATTACCCAGCAGATAACTCAGTATCAAACACACTTTAAACAGGCAATCCGACTAGGAGACGGCAACAGACGTGCCACTGGTGTCGGTTGCGAGTCATGTCCTGTAAAGTCTCGAGCCAAGCACAAGGCGAGACGGACCAACGGCACCCATGTTGGATGTCACTGACTTCATTTCCCGCTGCCAAATCAACTTCTCTCCGCCTCGAGCCTTACGCCACCCTACACCTGGTAGACTGAACAAGGCCCTCCTAGGTAAGCGGTGACCAGGCATACGTAGCACGTGCTCGAGCCAACGCAACTTATTCAGTGTTATATATTATTCTAGGGAGCTAGCATAATTACCACTATCTGGTTTATAGAAGGAAGGTTAGTGATGGGGGTCGGGATCGCAGTAATAGAAACAAATGGCAAAGAAAGGAGGGAGACGCCAGCAGTAGCATATTTTCGCTTATCCGCTCTGCTATATACAGCAGATAAGGCAACCCTTGATAATCTGCGCGACGGCCGATGCAGGATGAAGTTTATGTTTAAAGAAAAAATCATGGTTGTATGTAGGCTGGGATACTGCCAGAGCGCCTAGACCTAGACAGGTGGACGATTAGGGTCCTCATCCAAAGTCTTTGGCTCAAAAGCCTGTCCGCAAGGCAGCGGGGAGGTGGCAATGACTTAGTTTTACAGAAATGGACGCCATCCTATTTCAAACCCCCAACCTGGAGGACCAGGAGACTGAGTTTATCTGACCTCTTACCATTGATCAACCTGGTAGGAGTATCTCTCAAGGTGCCCACAGGCACAACCTCAATGTGTCAAAGAGGTACGCAAACCCTCGCACCACGTTAAGGTCCAGTCTCGTTGCGACGGAAATGACCCAACTTGTGCCGTAGATGCAGCAATCTACATTTGTCCACATTGAATCGAAGTAGCTTCTTGACAACGCAGCTTAATGTTTAAAAACACTTAGCTTAGCTTGTGCTAACGCTCTCCTCCTCACACGCACGTTCACACTTTTCTGCATGCCCACCTTCCTGTAAAAATTCTCTCACTCGATACAACCTATATACAGGCTTCAAAGTTGCTCAACAAGACTGCTTCCTCCGATCAAGCGCAGCTCACCCCTCCCGTCCCAACTTCTACCTCACTTGTTGGTACTGGTACCATGATGTCCGAAATGGAGGACATTCCTGTTCACGAATTCCATTCTGCTCTGATGGCCGAGAAACCTTTATCTACGGATGTAGATGCCACCACACAAGAGACGACCGCTGACCGAGAATTTGTTTCACATGATGTTGAGGAACCTTCTCCCCCGGCTGACGAGGAGAGACAGTCCATTCCTGAGGGTACTGCGGACTGGTCTGGTGTTCACATCTCGGAATCAGAAGAGCCTTCCGATCAGAAAGCGATGGAAGGTGTCACAGATGATGCTGAGGAAGAGCACTGGCAGTCCGGCTCGCCGCCAGTAACCACCACTAGCCAACTGGGTGGTGACCCCATGCTAGACCGTGCCGTGCAAGACATGCTGTCGGCCACCGATGACGCAGATTTAGTACGGGAAAGCGAGTCCATGTCAGCAAGTATGGAAGAACCATTCGAACCAGAACAGGAGGTGCCGGAAGTAGCTGAAAGTCAGTCAGCTGAGCCGCCAGCCAGCTCCTCCATCACCGACACGCCACCAGGAACAGCGGATCACGAACCAAAACAGGAAGAAACTTTTGCACAGGAGGATATCACCGGTGAGTCCAAAACTTTCGCATTGTCATCTTGGCAGTTTGATCATCTGGTGAAAGGGTGGCTACAGTTCAAGGTGCTTGCGACCACCTGCAGCTTTCCTGACGGTAGTAGGCTTCGACATCCAAGAAGCCGGACACACGACGCTGAACTGCATCTGCACTCTTGAAACCACTCTCTATTAAATCGTTGCCATAAGTCTTAACTTCTGGATGGTAGTACTGCTAATAGTAAGAGCACCGTAGCGTATTGTGACCGCAGCAGTGGGCGGTGATTGAAAACTGTTAAACTACCTAGACCTAGAAATTGCTGCTAGATCGTGACCAAGCATACCAATGTGTCACGATCACAACAACGCGCGGCTTGCTGGAAGGGGCAGTGCATAACTTTTCACACTATCCCGTGCAAATCATCGTTCCTCCACTATCTTTTTCATCTAGACGATGTCCATTAGGTGACTATATGTATTCCGGCCTTATCGGTTGACAGCTATCGGCTTCGCATCCACATGTCCAGATCTTGGTCCGAGTGCTACACAGATGCGTGGTAAACAGATCCACTGGCAGGGAAAATACTGGCAAACTACCGTTTATTCGTCGATAATTACGTGAATATTTGTAGGCTGAAATGTGTACCAAGATGTGGGATTATTCTCTGAGTCTGACTATTTACATTACTACTCATGTAACATGTCCTAGTTGCGTTGATGCCATTTCATCTGGGGTAAATCGTTTCGCCTTCTGTTACTTGTCAAGCTGCGACTCATCTCTTAAACTTCAAGATGATGAACATTGACTTTCTTATGGTTAAGAAGCACCGCTTTACAAGCCTTGTTGGGTGGTCTGGTGAGTTATCGAAGCACGTTAATGAAAAATTGCAGTTCATACTTCTACCGCCAAAAGAGTGCATTTATCGCTTCTGATACAGTGATCCTGCAGTCCGCGTAGTTTCGCAGATCTCGTAGGCGTCAACTAATAAATCCAAGGTATTTCCCGGGATTAGGACGGAGAGCTAGAGCCCAGCAACAAAGTACAAGCAGCTGAGTGCGTCTTCCAACCTACTTTGAATGATGGCTGGTGTAGGTACAGAAACTACCGATTTGGGGAGAGCGTTCCACGGGTGACATACGCGAATAGAAAATAAATTTCTACGGCACTTCAGATGACTATACTGCTCTACTAGTTTCATGGGGTGGCCTCTCAAGTTTTTGTTACTGCTGAGTTGCAGTAATGATTGGCATATATGATTTCGATTGTGTAAAATTAAACTCGTCATTAGCAAGTCGCATCGTAATCGGCGATGGCGTCTGCTGAATACTCCCAAAGGTTTCGGCCTCTGCTCATATGCGCATTCCAATGTGACGTACCTGGAAACCCGACATTGGAGTTGGTCTAGTGCCGTGACTTGTTTAGGCCATGGCTGCCACGCTTGTATTGTGTATTCGACATGGTGGTGAACACTGTGCATCTGTCAGAAAATAGTGTTGTCTGTTTGTCCGGACGCCCATCGCAACAGACCAACAGGTTGGGTACCAGTTTTTGACACCTTTTCGGATTGTCGGGAACAATCCAAGTTATTTTGAACCAGCACGCGTTCGACGGAAGTTCGCTGCACTAAATGATTTACGAGCATGTATGAGTACATACTTAGCTGTCGTATATAAAGTGCCTTGCGTTTATTCACGTCGAAAGGCAATAACTTTTGGATTAACGACCGGTGCACCGTATCTTGATCATTCTGCGGCAGATGCTGGTCACAATTCACCTGAATCCTGCGCCAAATCATGTTGTCGGTAAACACTAGGGCGTTCGGAGCGATTACTTGTGTAAGGTCATTAATGAATACCAAGAATAATCGTGGTTCTTAAACGGTCTTGCGGCACATCACACTCGACTTGTATGGAGTCTACTAAGGAGTTCCGGACTCTGACCACCAATTGCCCCGTTGAGGGGGAAAGTTGGTGATCCAGTTCAAGAGTGGGTCACCGATGCTGTAGCTTGGAAAGGAGTATCTTATATAATCTAGACGGTCGAATGCTTTCAACAAATTTAACTAGATCACACCACCATCATCCTCTTCAGCGTCAGCTTGCTCAGTCCAACTATTTCGTGCGATTAATGAATTCGCTATGCACGATCGTTGTCGATGGGAGCCGTGTTACTCAGGAATAATAATATTACAGTTTTCCAGCTAGCACACCAGCCTATCGACAATGATTAATTCCATGATTTTGGACAGTACAAAAAATAAAAATGCTGGGTGGTAGTTTGAAGACGCAGACGTGCTTTCGCCTATGTGAATCGGTTACTACTCCAGTCTACCACATGAAAGGAACTTGCTTCTGGTCTAAGCAGCACCGAAAGAACTGAGTCCAAGTGTCTGCCAATTGTCTTGCTGTTGCTCCCAGTGCTTCTGAGCGTATGATGTCGATACGGGGGAGCTGTGGCTGTGCAGAGATATCAGCTTCTGCAAGACAGCTTCCGCGGTAAAAGTGATACAATTGAGCCCCGGCATTGGGTCAACCAAACCTGAAAAATCGCCTGATTGTAAGGCCCTCTGAAATGCGGGAGCATAATGCGTCCGCAGCGCGTTTGCTGGTTCTGTAGCCTTTCTTGTTCGACCATCAGTATTTCAGAGTGGAGTAATTCGCTGTCTCACCTTACGAAGGCCATTGACCTGCGTGTACAGCAGTTTGTGGTTAGCGCTGAAAGTTTTCCCCATGTTCTGCTGATATGTGTTTTTGTATTCTCTGAGCGGTTGAGTGCATTGGTTATGTAGTTGTTCCAAGTATCTGGCGTTGGAGATGACCTATGCTGCGGCCATACTGCTTTGCTTACTAACATCCATTTTCGAGTTCTTCTCCTTACGGAACTCTTGTCTCTGAGGCATTCGTAACCAGGTGATTAAATTTGCTGACGAATTCGAGTCAGTCAACTTTCGGGAGGTCGGCGAGGAATGACCAAGTTGTGGCACTGACAAGCTGAGCTTTACGGTCGTAGCGTGTAATGCTGCGCACCATCTCATGGTTCTCGTGACGATATTCCGCATAGCAGATGAAGTTGAAACTGATGACTGCATGATCACTGCGACCCGAAGGACCAGGCTACAGACAACAGATCAATCATTGGTAAGCATAAGAGCTAGCACAGATGCCCTGTTATCTATTCTGAACCGACTGCGCTAAGTGCTTTGATTATACAGCGGAACACTGGTTACGAGCTCTGCATATCAGCTTTCAATTGTTCTCCACTCGTGGCATGGGTTTCTAAACGTTAGAATCATGTATGCTAAGGATGTGAGTGTATCTTCCCTTGAACTTGCATCATAAAGCTGTTGCAAGGTAGGTACACCAAGGTTACAAGCGACACCAAAGAGAATCGGGGAACCGTGAGTCTGAATCCCCTACAGTCTCGCGCTGTGTCGCTTCGGTAATACAGAATTACTCCTCCTCCTTTTATGAGCCTATCGTTTCGTATGAGTGACATGCCATGCAGCGAGACTTCCGCGTCCGTTATTCCAGCGTGTAACCATGTCTCAGTGACACCGATAGCACATGGTCTAGAAACTTGGTGGTCTTTCTGTTTAGCCAGCTTAATGAGCATTGATTTAAAAGCAGGCTAGTTTCTTGTTCTCTAGGAGCCAGATGTGGGGGAATGCGGGCCGTTATGAGGTCGGCCGTTATTCGTTTTTTGATGGGATACTGATACTTCGTCCGCAGCCTAATTTGGCAAAAATCCGTCCAACAACAACTACAAACTTGCCAAACTGCTACCAGAAAAACCTGAGCTACCAATTTTTACTCTTGTTCCAAACCAATTCCTCGTCCGGGTCCACTACAGAATCGCGTGAACGAGCGGTCAAACATAGTACCCGTGTAATGATCGGTATGCTTGTTTTTCATGTAAACTCATGTCTAGTTTTTGCAAAACCTACCACTTTTAGCCAAAGTTCAGATGGGAAAGCCTTTTCGACTTTTTTCACAAACATTCCAACAGTTCCATTGCTGTTTGCTTTGACTGAATTACGATTTTTAGAATTCTTGGGCCGCATTCTCTATAATTTGGTGAGGGAAGTAGCCTTTTGATCGATCGAGCGACGTTATCCAATAAGGTTATCTCCCGAATTAACCACCACTGTTCCAAATCGTATTTTCCAATCTCTTGATTATCGTCAGAAGCAAGCTCTGGCACGTCGTGGATGATGATTGTGTCTAGGCGAACCTGCTTACCATGTCTTGCCGCGCTGTTTCTCTTCGATTGTCGCGTGCTTCAAGGGCCTTCCGGATAAATGCGTATGCCACATGACCCGTGTTGTGGCGCATTTGCAGCAAGTAAAACGTTTTCTACATCAATGGCAGATTCTAACTTCACCCTAATAAGTTTCGAATGCCATAGATATCTAAATTGGACTCAGTCGATCTCCAAATGCTCCGAACCTGATGAAATGGTTACATAATGCATAGCTCCTAAAAGCCTGACACTTCGTCTTATTGTTGTCTTCCGGATCCTCTGTTTTTCGCAACTCCGATGAATTAGGTGCCACCTTGGGGTACATTCAGACCATCAGCGTCGCTGGCACTACTAAATCTCTAAATCCTTTTTTACAGCCTCTCCTGTAGAGGATTCGCAGACTGCCCAACAGTCTGACATGAAGGATTCTCCTGCGGTGACCGGTTACGACGCCCCTGCCCAGGAGCCCACTCCGGAGGAAGGCACATCGGTAGAACAACCCCCTGCTCTTCATCTTGCCGGTGGGGATACTTTGCATTCCGAACTACCGGTAGAAGCAGCAGAGGCACAGTGTAACGCGGCCTCCGGACAACTTGAGGAGGGATCCCCGAATTCGCCCACCGCATCCCAGTCTGGGGCTCATGATGAACAAGTAGACATAAGTCCCCGTGAGGGGATGCGAGACGCCGACCAGTGATTGTCATGGTGCATGGAAGCGTAGAACCCCTACCCTTACCTAGAATCCTGATCCCTCCTCCGTAACTATACCGTTTCTGTCATGAAAACTTTGAGTTCAGTTCCGTCACATGAGCTGTGAGGTCCCATTCTCGCCTCCCTGATTTATCGCTGCATTTTGACCGAGATCGTGCAAATCTAATGCCGCTTTTTAATTTTCTGTCCTGTTCCCAATCATTTATGTTTGAAATATTTCCTATGTTGCTTATGCTTTGTTATTTCTTTCACCTCGTCCTTTCCCAGTTTAATTTTCGACATTTTTTATTGCAAGCAACAGAAACCAATTTTCCTCATTGCTCTCGTCCCTATCATGTACCCATTACCGCCCATATTCACTCAAACCGTTGATACCTCACTGCTAAGTCGCATTCCCCCTCGAATTCGTCTGTCCGGTTTGTCGTTACGTTTGTGATCCGCTGCTGCAGCTACGATGATTTTCTCTTGATGCATACATGGCATTTGAGACTAAGTTTGCATTTCCCCAATCTCTTGATGCAGCTGGAACCCTCAGTGTCACCAATCAAATGTGTCCAATTTGTATTACTAGTGTCACCAACGTATCTTTGTTCTCCTAACCGCTTCCTCCATCTCTACTACATTACGTATCACTTTTAAAGTGTTGACTATATAGGGGAGCCACGTCTTTTCAGAGCACTGCTGTCATTGTGCACTCATGTTGACTATGGCACCACGTTCTCATCTTGCTTTTAATCATGTGGATTGTCGTTCAGCCCTTCGAACTGCAGACCAAAGATTGAACAGGGATCAGAAACCTGTCGTTTATGCACAGAGTGCTCATCCAGACTAAACGGAATTTTAAATCGCTCTGTTGTTGTTGTCCCTTCTCATTGATTTGCCACCGTTTCCCAGCAATGCTCATTAATTTGCTTCTGTTAACTGGGACCCGATTATGACACTGATGCTGCTATGGCCAAATCACTCTTCAATTCAGAAAAACTTGATGTTCCGCTAGCTCACTCAATTTCGCCGAGCCGAACCAATCCCGAACGGTTTATCCAGTCTACAAAATAGTCGCCAATTGGCTGACTTATCGAGCAGCACACGAGCAATGCCTGATTGGTTTGTTCTCTACTAACCGCATCTGTTTTGTCCTTCGTTGTCGATTGGATGTGGTAATGATCGCGCTCTATCCTCCTCCTTTTTCACAAATGAATATTACTTGTCGCCACCAGCTCGCATGCCTGCGACTCGCAACCGTTTTCCTACTTGTTTGCGCTTTGACTCGAAACCAGAACATGAGGTGTCGGCCTCCTTTATTCTCTCAAGGCACCGAGTCGCGGGAGCAACGGTCGTCACAAAGAACAAAAGCTCACTGGAGGGGTCATTTTGTAGCATGCGTTGTGTAACCCAGTGGACCGAAGTACGATCCAACTTGTGATTCGGAGTCAAGACTCTGAGATCACGCGTCACAATTCATTCACAATGCGTGCTTCAAAATGAAGCTACCCCCAATGCATAGTTTCGACGCTACTTTCTCCATCATTTCACTCTACATGGCGATCACAATCGTACTGATAACATGTACAGATCGTGATTTAAGTGTCTGCTTTGGATCAAAGTAGCTTGTGAAGCCAAATATCGATGAGCACGCAGAATTATAACGGTCAGTTTCTATCGCATTTCTGCTAAGTAGATCAACGTAGGCTACTTTCTGAGTGTTCCATTCGATACTGTGTACAATTGTCGATGATCTAACACGATTTACAACCAGTTCTAACTGCTAGCAGTAGAAGTGAAATGCTTGCTAGCTCTACTAAAGTGCGAAATGTCATAGTTAGGATGAAGAATAAACAGGAATCACTGGCAGTATGCAGTGACAATGCCACCAACACGAGAAGTACCTCAGCTAAGATGACGGAGAAACATGAAGCATTAGCTGTCTACCCTGACGATAGAGTTGATTTATTACGTGAAATGCAAACCGCATCATTGCTCTTGAGAAACAAGCTATATCAATAAAAACCGAACTCCTGCGCTTTGGCTCAAAATACGATCAAGTCTTGACTTTCTGCGAATTAATTAAAGGTTCAATAGATGTGGCTAGATTTATGCTATCCTTAATCACAACTGAGACTCAGGAACGTTTACGCAGAGCAAAGAACGTGATTGTGTTTAACACACCTGACCGATTGAGCATAGATAGTCAAAAAATATTTTGCTCGCCGCATACAATATGAGTTGCTCCAGCTGTCTGCTTCAGACTCCAGAAGAAAGCGACAATAAGGTCATGCCTCATCCTCCTTAGATTCCCTGATGAAGCCATGGCTGAACATTGTGTACATGGCAAACGGCTCATTGCAACACGAACTGACTAAGAACATTTTGATCAGAAACGACCAAACGCCACTACAAAGGTGCTTTTCACGTAAGACGAACCATTCAGACGCTCGAATTTCTCGCACCGACCCCAATCATACTGGTAACGATGTGGACCTTGACAGATCACCAAGATCGCCCCTACCTAAAGATACTCACAAGTATCTAGTCCACCAGCCCACTCACGAAGTGTTATTGCACGATAATGCTGATCCGGTATGATTAGGATATAGGACACACTATTAAAAATTCTGCAGAAGTCAATGCCATGCAATGTGCCCTTTCTGCAAACAACGACCTCTTAAATTATGTGGCACCAGCTCAGAACCGAAATGCAGTGTGAAACTAACATTGGAGATTTAAATACGCTATCCCTTACTGAATATCATGACAACTATCCCACGTCCCAACTAAGCATAGACAACATCGCAGAGCGCCTTATCCCTACAATATTCTATGAACATTCCCAATAACGGATAACACCTAAACAACCTCCATCATAATATAAGAACCGCTCATTAAATCAGATGAGGAAAACTGCACGTTGTCGCACCTCAAGATATGAGGTTGTAACTGATTCTGGGGGCAGTAATAACCACTTGACCGACTACCAACCATCACAAAAGTTTTTACTATCTACCTCTCCGAAACGGAGGTGGCAATATCCCAACTGGAATAACGCAGTAATTCATGACAGACCTGAAGGTATGGGGGAGCATACGCCCTCCTACCTACACTACCTCCAATGGCAGCCTCCGTTTTTAGCCTACCATACTCCACCACTTCTTCCTACGGAATTTTCTAACCAATTGCCAAGTGACCCTTTTTTAAGCCGACATCCGCCCCCACCAATAGAGCCTCCACGTACGATCACACAAAACCCAACAATGATCCAATTGTTCCAGCATTTCCTTCACTAGAAAGGACATTGTAACACACGATAGAGCCCAGTTGTTTCACCACGGCACACCACTTACGTCCTTGAAGACAGAGGGTGTGATATAACCGAACTTGTGTATCCTACCTCCTTATACTTAAATTCGCTATTGTAAGTATTCGTTCGCTATTACCAAAACTGGATATCCATACATTTACATTCCTTAAAACTACTCACATGGTTTGTATCACTGAAACATGGTGCACATCAGCCATATGTGACTTCCCAGCTGAATATTTTGGGTTATCAGCTGTTTCGGAAGAATCGTCTGCACGAACGCGGCGGTGGATGTGCTATCTACATACGCAATGGCATAACAGCAATCTCAGCTGACCAGTTAGCCTTCAATGATTTGGATGATTCATTATGGTTGACTATTCCGGCCTATGATTTGCTACTGGGCTGAATTTATAGACCTCTTGATGCTACTCTCCATGAATCTCAGTAGTTAATGTCTGCCATTAATGTTGCTTCCAGCACTCCACACAAGTACAAATTCCTATGTGGAGATTTTAATTTGCCAAATATAAATTGGATGTCTCATAGGCCTACAACAACTGGGGAACTTGCAGAAATAACACAATGTGTGTACCAATGGATGGACTCAGGACGTTAAACAACCTACTAGGTTAGATAACATTCTAGATCTGGTTTTCACCATGGGTATTCCATCTTTTTGTGTATTAATTGAAGACCCATTAATAGGATGCGACCACAATACGGTGCTTTGTAGCATGAATATCAGGCCATATAGAAAGACAAGAGAAATAAGGAAGCCAGTACCCAGAATACACCTTATTGATTGGAACACATTTGACAGTGCTTGAGAACATGCATTGGGACCGATTCTTCTCCACATCAGATTTGGCCATAGCCGCAGGCGAATTTGCGAAAAATATCATCACATGTACGGACATTATAGGACCTACGACGAAGGTAAACACAGACCCCTTTCACGGTCGATACGTAAGCTACCCAAGATTGCTTCCAAGCTTAGGAAGTTGAGATCACGGCACTGCAAAAACAAGGACATCGCCACATTAATTCAAATGCACGAAGCCATAACACCAAAAACAGCTCAGGATTGCCGAGGAAACCCGAACCATCACGAATACAGAGAAAGCTCATGCCCTGATGCAATTAGTCAGAAAAGACACCACGAAATTTCAAGCCTATTTTTAAACGTCGGTGCGGTAATAGACGATATAGTCCAAATATGTGATTCGATGAATTCCTACTTTGCCACCTCGTTCACCACCACACCATATGTGTCATCTCTCCTTCCAAGATAAACTGGAGAGGTATTATGTACCATTCCTCGGAATCTAAAGGCCGTACAGATGACTATAACATCCATCAAATCGACTTTCCAACCACGACCTGATGGCATTCCCCCTGTAGCTATATGGCTATGTAATAAAAACATATCTCTCCTCATGTTGAATATTATTAAACTGCACAAAACACTAGGTGCTTCCAGTATCAGTGAAAAAAGATACATAATTATACTGAAACACAAAGGCGCTTCACGAGAGAGAATGTCAAATTATCGATTCATAAACCGTCGCCGCCTCTAAGGCTTTAGAGAGAATCGTCAAGACTCGGGTAACACAATTCCTGACAAGACCAAACCTACTCAGCAGTTTTGAACATGACTTCACGACAATTACAGTTTCTCGATCATGTTACAGCAACTTTAGATGACGGCATGGTCATCATCATCATCCTATTGGATATGCAAAAAGCGTTTGACTGTGTACTGTACCGGACGTGCTGGAGTGCTCTGGAATCAACAACCCTCTCTTGAACTGGTTCGAGTCATATCTTAAACACCGAATACAAAGTACAGATTGGTCAATATTGTTTTACTTCCAGAAATGTCACGAGCGGTATTGTTCAGAGCAGTGTATTGGGCACATTGCTTTTCCTCATTTACGTAAACGATATATGTGTTTACCTTAGACACGGGCGCTAATTTGTATTTGCGGATGACATCAAGCTAGTGTACTCATTTCTACCTGACCATCTGGAACTGTGCATAAAAAGTTTACGCGAGGATTTATCATCCCTAAACGAATGGAGCGAAAGTAGGTCGATGAGGTTTTTCGCAGATAAATCTTAAATACTGTCACAGATGCGGTATACCAGAAGGATCTATCACTCTCACTGGCACTCCCATCCTAATTGCGTATTCCGTTCGAGACCTGGGAATTCGTTATTCGAGCAGGTTCAACTTCTCCGAACACATCCTACATCGAGTAGCGAAAGCGAAGCAACTAACAAGCTACATCACTAGGTCATTTCCCCACTCCAAACACAGCTTGAATCATGCAAACTCACTGTGCGACCCACTGGTTTATTGCACCATCATGTATAGCCACTAACGTAAAACAGAATTGCTTTGGAAAATGCTCAGTGCTCATTTACAAAAATGCTCGTGGGGCGCCCATCATAATTCACCAATGAGGAGCGATGTTCTCACCTTCAACTTGATCTACTCAGGATTCGAAGTCTGAAAATCAATCTCGCTCTTCTCTACAGCATAATATACTTTCGAGTTTGTTTAACCAGTACCACCGTCGCATTACATAATGGCTCAACCTATCCCACTCGTAATGGTAAATGTCTACTATCCTTACAGCGAACCAGTAAGAAGACCCGCTTACACTCTTCCTCGTGAGCAACGCCTATCTGTGGAATAAACCCGTTACCAACAAGGACCTTCGAGAGCCTGTCCACTTTAAAACTACCGTATATTACCGTGTAGAAGCCGATCCGTATATAAGCTGACACTATGACTATGCAACGCCAAATTTGTCCAAATCATAAGTCCGTATATTAGCCGAACCTCCGCCGTCGGCCCTCCACCCCCCAAATCAGCAAAAGGAGAAACGAAATTGTTTTTCACGATTTTGACTTCATCACTAGCTGCTCTCACTTGAGTGTGCTCAAGCGAAAGCTGCTCTATTATTGGTCAGTTCTGGCGACCTAATGTGTTATGATCGCACTTACTTTGGCTTAGAGCCATCAGAACAAAGATTTTATCCGCACTGGACAGTGTATGGATTAGAGGTCAAGTCACGCGAAACAGGTAACACAGCGGAGAATATGGGGTAAGGTGAAAGGGTTGTCAGACACCGCTTCACATCATCTGGGGCCTCATGCATCTGAATCGCAGTGGGGTAGTGGATGAGAGGAAGTTCACGCTCAGTGGTGTGGGACGACGATGTAAACTTAACGCACCAGATTGTCTAGCGTAGCATAATGTATAAGCGCTGTGATCAGTCAAAAAGTGCTTCCTCAGTGAAGACATAGATGGAAGTGAGAACGATGCCATTTTTGAGCAATACGACAATGACGAGAGAAGTGAACTTGAACATGATGGTATTCACCCTGACCTCCCAACGACAGACGGCCAGTACCACAAACTGTTCGGAGATTCTGATTCTGATTCTAGCTTCGAAGAATTCGAGTAATTTTAATACTACTATGGAGACTATAAAATCGCTCCGTACGTGCTGTTCTATCATGCTCTTTTCCAACGTTATTTTGTGGGATGGTGTTCGACTCTTTATAATCAGTATGCTTCTATTACTGTCATCCGTCGCGAAAGTCAAATGTGCAATATACGGAGAATTTTCGACACAGTGTGTCTACCTATTGGCACCTCAATTACCCGCCTGGGATACCGTTCCTCACCAGCGAGTGGTACTAAGGTAAGATAGGGGCACAGGTACGCAGTGAATTTCGGAGTAGATTTTGCATTTGCTTTTTACAAATAGTGCATAACCTTGATAAAACGTGACTCCTCCACTACAGAAATGGCAAACTGTCCAAAATTCCTCGGCTTATACACGGTAATAAAACGTAATAAAAAATTTTCTTTCTATTCGTGAACAATTCCCATGAAACCAGCAAATCATACTCGCGCAAGAAATATCCTTTTCGATATATCAGCCATTTACAATCATAGAGCCAAATTAGGAAAACAAATGGCTTACGAAAGCTAGGTCTAAATTAGAAAGAACGACGTAATCCACCATCTATCGGCTTGGCATGGCTGGCCATCGACCAATGTGTTAGTCAGTCGAAGTACGCCGCTCGGACAAAACACATACGGTAGGTGAAGGCAGACAGATCAGCGGTGACAGATGCTGGTCGCCTGTTTGAGGTAAGGGATTCTCGCCGGAGTGTGTTCATGGCCACGGTAGGATCAAGGTTTGCATCGGCGTCCGTTGTTTGCACAGTTCTGGTTTCAAAACCCTGATTGCAATGGCCTCGGCTGTTGTTAACAAGCGTTTCTTAAGTCCTTTAGAGTATCGTTTCGGGATGGTATCTATGACATTAAATGAGTCATTTGTCTGAGTCTGGTGTCCTGTCTCAACTAAATGCTCAAGTACCGAACTGTTGATGTTATTTACGGTGCCTTTTCGTAACGAAGCCGGCAGTGTTCAGCGATCCTTTTGGACAGGCGCCTGGTCGTATGTCCGAGGTACGTTGCACCACAGGTGCAAGTGAGTTGATACAGGATGAAAGATTCGGACCGCACCGGACCAGAAGTCTATCCTGCAAGCGCTGAGAAATCAGTGGTCTAGTTTCGGCAAGCAATTTAGGATTGCCTACCTGGAATGACTGAGCCATTACGGTCGACAGTTTTCTCCTCAATAGTGCAAAAGCAACATCTGCTTAAGGAACTGTAAGGAAGACGTCATTTTTCGGTACTTTAGTGGTAGCATTGGTAGAATGGGGCGGTTTGGAGTGATTTTTAATGAACTGGGGATGATATCCATTCTCCTGCAATGTGCTGAGAATGAGCTGTTTCACTGTCCATCGTCTCAAGGCTGCAGATGGCCGCGGCGAGATAAAAGAGACATCGGGCTAAATTGCGCTTGTACCTAAGTGGCACGCAGCTGAGAATGTGGGTCTACTGGCGTACCCAAGTCACTTTTCGGAATATGCTCCTTTCAATTGACCCATTCTCTGGACGGCGCAATAGCGCGTCTAGGAAGGCCAGTTTCACGTCGACCGCACCCAGCCACATGTTTTTTCATATATTCAACACACCATCCTTCACCACCACTAGCCCAGTAGCACATGAATGTCCCAGAGGAATAGAACAATGAACAATGATATATTACAGGTAAAAAAGCGATTGCTTTACAAGTCCCGTAGGATGGTTGAAGTGAAAGTAAACATAAGTGTAAATCGTCAGTTTAAGCGTCTAGTGAATTCAAGTGCCCCTTATTCATAGAAACGTTGTAGAATATGTACTGAATTGCTACTGTAGAGTAATATGGGAAGTAATATGGGTAAGGCAGGTCTTAAGAACAAGAGAAACGACCAACGCTTACTCGTGCGCCGCTTTCTTGGACTGGGGTAAATTGATGAATGCAGTTGTAATATATCCGAAACTATATTCCACAACAGCAGTGTGTAAATAGTGAAGCACAAAAGCTGAGAATGAGCACCGTTTTTTTCGCGTTTGTTTGACGTGGACATCTCTGATTATATAGCGTAATGTAGGTGGATAAGCGATTCATCCAGACGTCTTTTGAATAGCGATAGCGTGGAGGAAGAAACAACGTATGTGGGAAGAGCGTTCCAGTGTTGGCACACACGAAGGGAAAAGAAATTCCGGCGGCATTCCAACCGGCTGTATTGTGTGGCCAGCTTTAGATGGTGTCCTCTGAGTGTTGTATTGCTATTCAGCTTTAGTAGGTGACGACAACAATGGTTTGGATTCCTCAGGATCATATAAGTCATTATCAAGTCGCCACGCAGGCGTCGATATTGTCCACTGTAGACCCCGAGGGTTTTCAGCCTCAATCGGTAAGGGAGATGAAACAGGCCCTTTACGTTCTTGGTCGCCCTTCGTTGTGGCAGTTCAAGAGCGGTAAGGTCTTGCTTCTGCCATGGCTGCCAAGCGTGGATGGCGTACTCAGAATGAGGCCGAATGTAGGCGTTGAGCATCTGAGAAAAGATGGAAGGATCGAAGCGCCCGAATGCCCTCCGCAAAAGGCCAAGGTTTTGGTTAGCTTTTTTGGAGGCTTTCTCGGCCTGACGGGAACAGCCCAGATCTTCCTGCACTACCACTCCTAGATCGCATTCCGTTGTAGTGCGCTGCAATATTTGATCCCCCAGTCTGTATTCGCAAGTGGCTTTATGGCGTATGCTCAACACCTTGCACTTTGTAGCATTGAACTGAAGCAGGTTCTGAGTCGACCATTCGTAGACCCTGTCCAGATCATCCTGAAGTGCTGCATTGTCGCTGGTTGTTCTAATGGCTCGCCATATCTTGAGATCATCAGCGAAGAGTAAGGAGTTGGAGTTGATTACTGTCGCGAGATCGTTTATGTAAATCAGGAATAGTCGTGGACCAAGTACTGAGCTCTGGGGCACTCCGCACTTAACGTCGATTGGGTCAGAGATGACGCCGCGAACTCTTACATTCAGATGTCGTTGAAGCAAGAAGTTAGCTATCCAACCGAGGATTGGGTCACCAATTCCACAACACTGCAGCTTGTGAAGGAGGATACGGTGGTTCAGACGGTCGAAAGCCTTTGAGAAATCCAGATATACTGCGTCAACACCTACGCCGCTGTCAACGGTCTCAGTCCAACTAGATCTGGCAAGCAGCAAGTTTGAAGTGCAAGATCGGTTCTTGCGAAACCCATGTTGCTCTTGTGCTATGATATTTCGTTCTTCCAAGAAGTTCATCAGAGCTTCGGCGACAATCGCTTCCATGATTTTGGAGAGCACCGGAAGTAGTGTTATCGGGCGATAGTTGGCCGGATCTGTACGACTTCCCCCTTATGGATGGGAGTGACGATGCCTTGCTTCCACATTGTTGGCACGCGCATCTCATCGAGGCATCGTTGGAAGAACTTGCAGAGGGGGTCCGCCAGGTTTACTGCAGCCAATTTCAACGCTTTTGGACGAATATTATCAACACCGGGAGAGGTATGCTCGCGCAGGGCAATTAGCCTTTTCATGACATCCGCAGTCGTAAACGTGATGTGGCTGAGTCCTGGTGGTGGTACAACGATTGGGAACAGTGTATGCGGCGATGTCGTGCTCTGGAAGTTCGGGGTGAATTGTTGACATAGGGCGTTGGCCGCCTCGGTTGCGTTTTGTGCAAGTCCACACAATGTGTGTAAAGCAGGAATTCCTCGCTGTACTTTGCGGAGCTTGTTAACGTGTCTGTACAGGAGCTTGGGGTTTGAAAGAAATTTCTCAGCTAGATTCTGTTGGTGCTGTATTTTATCTTCGCGTACCAGGTTTACGCAGTGATTCCTTTGGATAGTGTAGGCTTCCCATGTTTCGGCACTCGGTGACTCCTTGTATCTTCGCCAGAGTAAATTCCTCGTGACGATACACTTGCGTGTCCTGCTGCGTATGAATGATTTTACTGTCTTCGCTCGCGAAGGTCTTTTTCTAGAAGCACTAGTTACTAACGTGTTGAACTGGTGAGCAAATTCAGACTAGGCGATATCGGGGGATCGTTCTGCTAGAAATGCCCAGTTTGTAGCATTTATAAGTTTGACTAGAGCGCCGTAATCCGTAATGAGCTGGCATTCCTCGGTGTTTTCTGAGGAATACTCTGCATAACAGATGTACTTGAACATGAGGGTTGCATGGTCGCTACGGCCTAAAGGACTCTCTATCGATACCGTTTCGATCATAAGCTCTTCATTGGTGAATACGAGATCCAGGACACCCGGTTTGTTTCCCGTCCTGAATCTTGTGGGAGATGTGATGTGATTGTAGAGTGGTAGCCCACTGATTATCTCCTGTACTTCCATTTTGAAGTGTTCGTTGATACAGGCTGGGGTTTCTATGGTATGAATATTGAAGTCGCCAACCAGGAGAATGTGGCTGTACGACTGCGAGAGAATGGTCTTCATTGTGGAGGCTAGGCGGTTGTCCATTTCCAAAGTAGCCGACGGAGGGCGATACACCACACCCAACAAACATGCGTCCCCACGGCTAAGTTGAAGACGACACCAAAGCGCATCGACAATCTGAACCTCTGGGTCATCGATGAGATCGATGTGTAGTTCGCTGCGATAATAAAGTACTACTCCACCTCCTCTACTTGGTCGATCGTTGCGTAGAATTGACATCCCAGGTAGTGCGATTTCTGCATCAGTGATCGCTTCACTCAACCAAGTCTCGGTTATCCTAACGAGGTCGCTTGACATCGAGGCCTGACGCAGGCGAAGCTCCGTCAGTTTGCTTAAAAGACCTTGTGCGTTGGTATAAAAACAGGAGAGTGATTCATAGGTTAGAAGGTTACTTGTGGATATAGACAACAGGTTTGAGACTTGGCCGACCCTCTTGAGGTCGGCTGCTACTAGTTTTTTGAAATTGTCTTAGGCTCGCGAGAATGACTTGGGATAACTCTCTGCACCGTGTGATCAGGTTCATGATTATCCTGATGGTCACTCACCTCCTGCAGTGCCTCGCCGGATGCTATGACGGCAGTCAGATCAGTCTCTGTGGTGGACTCTGCAACAACGGTTGTTCCCACTGAGTTGGTTCTCTCCATGGAGTAACCAGTAGCCTCTGGTCGTAAACCTGCTGCTTTAATTCGAATTTCTGTCGGTAGCATGTTCCGGAATTTACCCCAGTTCTCTAGAACTGCCTGTAAAGTTAGCTCAGACGGTAAGACCAACTTCAGCAACCTAGGACCACACCCTTTGTAATTTGGTGACACGGGAATCCTGGTCAGGGAGGTAGCAATGACATTTTCTAAAGACAGCGCCTCACGAATGTATCGCCATTGCTCCAGGTCATGTGCCTGAACTTCTTCAGGAGGTGAAGCTTGAGACTCGGGGACGCCATGAATAATGACGGTTTTCAGCGCGTGTTTTCTACTTCCCTGTTGATTGTTCATATCCTTTGAACGTTCTTTCCACGGAATATCCGGTAAGATACATACTCCGTTCGATGCTCTGTGATGTCGATTTGCAGCGAGCAGAATGGATTCCGTTTCTTCCGCGGAATGTAGTGTTACTCGAAGTAGTCGAGGTTCACCGTAGTGTAAGTTGTTTGGGTGTCTTGCGATGCGGCTCAGCGTAGTGGGTCCAGCGCGCATGCTGATGGCACTACAGATGGAATCCCACTGACAACGATCGTCTATCAGTTTGCCCTTTATTGTGTTGGATTTGGATCCAGGAACGTTAGCGCACACAAGACTTAAGGCACCATGATTCCGCCTTGTGGTTTGCGACTTAACAGCACTAGGTTCTTTTGCTTTTTGTGGATTTGTGAACCGCACTGGCGATAGCGATCCATGTTGAGGCACAGTTTTGACCTCTCCGATAAGTGAAGTCACAGGTGTCTTTGACGGCGTTTTCCTAGAAGCAACCGCTGCGTAGGATGTCCAGTTATTTTTTACCGTAGGCTTGCTGGAGTTTTGTGTGTCGAGTATGTCAACTGAATTACTAGTTATTGCACCCTTGGAGGACGTAGTAGCAAGTGGGTTGTAAAAGACTTTTTCACTTAGTGGAGTCATGAGGCTAGGGGACGTTGGAGACTGAGACGCGATGGTGGGGTTGGGATGTCTGACCCTCTTCCTCGGCCTAAACGGGGAGTTTGTAGGTGTCCGTTCAGTTTCAAGTATAGCGTTGTTTACTTTCACAGCTGCGTTGCGAGCGTTCACCAGTTGCTCAACTGTTTCCGCCAACTTTTCACACTTTTTCATTAGGAAAATTACACAACTAACGACAGGAATGGATTTGCACACCTGGCAGAACCAAAATGCTTCGGTTTTGCTGCTGTATTGTCTAGTTTCGAGTGCACTCATCCCTAAACACTTCGAATGGTACGCTTTTTGACAGTTAAAGCAAACTGGACCAGACTTAACGGTTTTTACACATAGGTCACAATTGACTTTCGAATGAGCCATATCCACTTGAGGCGTGTACTTTGTTATTTTGACTTGCACCAATTCCAAAAGGGATTAGATAGAAAAGGAGAGTTCAGAATCTATGTTGTAGATCTCTCACTTACCACTAGCTTAGAATGGATAATTCTACTGAATTATGTGGTCAGGGTCAGTAATGGGGCAGCGAAGTGGGAATGACCGCAGATGGTGGTGATATGGTGTAGAGATTCACCACTAACAAGATGGAATGGAGTAACTGGATGTGTACACTACAACAGGGGTAGCAAGAGGATAGAGAGACTGACGCACCGTGTATGACTTCGCTTCAGTTTTCGTTGCGCGGCGATAGGCGCTGGTTTGAGGTCAGGGGGGTCAGACGTGTGGCGTCCAGATGAGTCACCCGTTCCTTAGGCTAGATATGCGACGTGCGTGCTATTGATCCAGCAGGTATGTGGATAGGTAGCGATGCAACGTAAGACTGAGGCAAGGCAGAACGACTTGGAAAATACTGTCTATTGACGACAGTGGCTGCACAAAAGGCGGACCAAATTGACAACTATCACTTTGTACAGCGACTAGAAGGAGTGGTAGTAAGATGCTCGGGTGACTCTCAAAAAGATCTTTACAATAAGACCCCCAGAGTTCTTGTGCGACGAGAGGAAAAATAAATTGTCCGATAAAATTCAAGCACGGTTGACTTCGAAATTGCAAAAGCACAGTTTGCTGCTGATCCGGGAATGACAGATCCAAAAGGTGGACAGTGGTAGGAGGAGCTCGCGGAGCCCAATCGAATGATAGTACGTAGGTCACTGTGAGAATAAATCCAAAGATTCCAGGGTGAATAACGCAGGAGAACATTTTTTGCGACCGCTCGGTAGACGACACACCAACGAGTCAGCGGATTACATTTGACCCAGCAGCGCACTGAGGAAGTCACCTCGTTTAGTGATGAAACGTTTGCATCCTAATTATGAAGCTCGGCGAACAAGCGAATTCAGGTATGCGTATAACGGTTTGGGGATATCCAGTCTCGGCTCTCTGAAATAAAACGGCTCTATTCTTGTCACTCATCCGCGGTTGACGACCTAGCTATCGACATTCGTGAATCTTTTACTCGATATTTACAAACCATATGCGATAAAATAATGGAAAGGCGATACTCCGAGTTGCAAAAGGCGTTGGAACCATGTTCCCCTGAGTCAGTTTCCGAGCAACCCTGAGAAATATGTGCACAACTTGTCTGGCATGCAGTTGAAGCAGCTGCAGCTAGAAGCATTGTCCATTGGGCCAAAGTTTTACTTCTTCCAACCAAAAATTGAACAAGTTCATCGAGGAACTCAGGTTGGAACTTTATGCACCAACTAGTGGAATTAAGACCTTTATCTCCACTTGCAAACGACACATTTAAGATCACACTGGTGCATTTCTCCCAGCAGTATCGGGACTGCAAGTTCCAAATATTCTAAGCATTCTAAGGAACTACTGCCCAACACAGAGCTGGTTATTTATGGACCAGATAAAGGGTCTGGCTGGGTACTGATGAAAAAGTCGTAGTACATCTCAAGTTGAAAACGATTCTTAGACAACAAGAAGTTCCGGCGGGATGCATTGCAGAAAGAGACGACCTCGCAGGAGGAAACTGAAATCACTAACATTCTAAAGAAGTTTAAAGAGGCGCAACCGCTAGACAATTCGCTTTTCACAAGGCTGGTTCCATGTGGCTCACATCCTCCATGACGACACGGACCGCCATAGCTGCATAAAGCAGAGGTTCGCGTGCGACCAATAATAGTCATGTCCTCTTCCGCCTTTTATTTAATCGCCAAGTGGATAACGGAGTTGTTTGAACCGGTATGTAAAGAATTATCTATTCATACTGTGACAGATGCATTCGCTTTTATTAAGGGAGTAGAAGATTTAAATGTGAGTGATAAAGTAATGTTTTCCTTTGATGTATAATCATTCTTCACCAACGTACCACTGTTAGAAACAGCGCGTTTCATTTGGGATTATCTCACTAAAAGGAACTTGAACGTGGGTATACCTATGCAAAAGCTGAAAGAATTGATCTTACAATGCATTCTCAACGTACAGTTCGTATTTGATGGAACTTACTACCGCCAGATAGGTGGGGTTGTAATGGTCTCTGCCCTAGGCCCGCTCTTAGCAGATATCTTCGTCGGGAAACTTGAGTGTGGACCACTGAGCAACCTGATCGCGTGATTTGATTCATACTACCGATATGTAGACGACAGACTCATCGTCTGTGATGCTTCCGTTTGAAGCAATGATTTGCTAGACGAATTTAACCATGTACACCCGTCATTAAAATTTACCATTCTAACTGAAAAGGACGGGAAACTGGTCTTCCTAAACGCGCTATTGCGCTGTCCAGAGAATGGGTCAATTGAAAGAAGCGTATTCCGAAAAGTGACTTGGGTACGCCAGTAGACCCACATTCTCAGCTGCGTGCCACTTAGGCACAAGCGAAACTTAGTCCGATGTCACTTTTATCTCGCCGCGGCCATCTGCAGCATTGAGACGATGGACAGTGAAACAGCTCATTCTCAGTACATTGCAGGAGAATGGATATCTTCCCCAGTTCATTAAAAATCACTCCAAACCGCCCCATTCTACCAATGCTGTCACTAAAGTACCGAAAAAAGACGTCTTCCTTACAGTTCCTTAAGCAGATGTTGCTTTTGCGCTATTGAGGAGAAAACTGTCGACCGTAATGGCTCAGTCATTCCAAGTAGCCAATCCTAAATTGCTTGCCGAAACTAGACCACTGATTTCTCAGCGCTTGCAGGATAGACTTCTGGTCCGGTGCGGTCCAAATCTTTCATCCTGTATCAACTCACTTGCACCTGTGGTGCAACGTACCTCGGACATACGACCAGGCGCCTGTCCAAAAGGATCGCTGAACACTGCCGGCTTCGTTACGAAAAGGCACCGTAAATAACATCAACAGTTCGATACTTGAGCATTTAGTTGAAACAGAACTCCAGACTCAGACAAATGACTCATTTAATGTCATAGATACCATCCCGAAACGATACTCTAAAGGACTTAAGAACCGCTTGTTAACAACAGCCGAGGCCATTGCAATCAGGGTTTTGAAACCAGAACTGTGCGAACAACGGACGCTGGTGCAAACCTTGACTCCACCGTGGCCATGAACACACTTCGGCGAGAATCCCTTGCCTCAAACAGGCGACCAGCATTTGTCACCGCTGATCTGTCTGCCTTCACCTACCGTATGTGTTTTGTCCGAGCGGCGTACTTCGACTGACTAACACATTGGTCGATGGCCAGCCATGTTAAGCCGATAGATGGTGGATTTCGTGGTTCCGTCGTGATCATCGATATGCATTTTTTGCGCTTTATCTCACTTCGTTTTTCAAGCATTTTTGTACCGTTGTTTGAATTGACCGCTTTTTCCGATACACTTTTCTTGACTTCCAACTGCGCGTCCCGCTTTCCTGCGGCGTCGTGCTGAGCTTGTTTTGTCTATGTGCGTGGGACATCTGAGCTTCGCAAAACCAACCCTGTGGAATATTATCTTTCAACTATTCTGTCAGGCAGTGTGAAATGTCTGTGGGTTTAGTCCAGCCGATCACGCCTGAAGGTCAGTGTATTCTTATCTGACATTTATTCTGTTCTTTCTGGTGCGGTAGTATAGGAATAGTTTTCACTCCACTACGTAAGTGGTGACTCCCGTCTTTCATTTTACAAACTGGAATTCACTTTTTTAGCTGCGAAATGTCCTTTAGTGACACTCCGCACACTGACTTTGGGAAATTTTTTCCTTTTTCCTTTAGTCGCTTTTGACGTAAAGAATGCGCATGTCTGGTTTTTGCAATTAGGAGCTCTTTTTGACTGCTGTAGGATTACGTCACAAAATTCTACGTTTTCCTACGCTCTGCACACAATCCCACACGCAGCCGCCGAACTGGTAGACCTATTTGATCCTGTTCATACTGAATCCCCCACTGATAAACTTAAAGCTACTATTTTGAAGCTTTTCACAGCTTCCGATGATGCCAGATTTCATCCATTTCTCTCCGGAGTTGAACTGAGTGGTCATTTACCTTCGCAGCTTCACCGTTATATGCGCTCTCTGGTGGGTTCCTTTAAAGTCGACGACGGCGTCTTACATGTTATGGCTCAAATATTTCCCATCCAACACTACGGCAATTCTCGCTGGATTCGCCGACGATTTGTCACTTAACAAACTAGCAGAAATGACTGACAAAGTTCACGAGTGTTTCTTTCAGCGCCCAGTCTGTAACCCTGTTGGCACCGTGCCTGAGACTATCACGTCAAAAGATCCCATTGAATCGATTTGTCAGAGACTGTCCATACTCGAGCTCGCCGTTAAGAGAGGACGTCTCCCCGCACTCGGGTTTAGATCCACTTCGAGGAGCAGAACGAGACTCGCTAGGAACACTAGTGAGGACATTGGATATTATCATCGACGTTTTGGTGATGCCTCTAAAAATTGTCGTCCTGGTTGCGTGCACCCGAAAGTCCTTCCCCAAGGCTGAACATGGAAACGCACCAGCCAGCCAGTAACAGCGACGACTTCGGCTGGCTGATCTTCTAGTCGCCTGCTTTCTATCCGTGGTTCCACATTCAACACTACAGCCGAATCAGCTTTCGGCCTCCTGAAAGAGGAAAAACGCTACCCCCTTCCCACAGGACCTAGTCTCCAGGCGGCTAATAATACAAACATCCAGACCTTTGGTCAGAAACTGCTGACTCTCGATCTTGGCTTCCGACGAACACTTTCTATCATCTTTCTGATCGCCACTGTT